TTATCAAATTCCGGGATCAAATTCCTGAAATTCCTGCTAGTTTTGAAAGCTCATTCAGGATTATTTAATTTTGAAATGTAAAAATATTGCCCCCTAGTCCCCCTCGATCACTGAACTCTACACTACGTAGTGTAGACTGGTTCGACAGTTCCACACGCTATGCTAACGTCACTACGGTTGGAATGAGAGCTAACCTGAGATAGGGGGTACATTGAGCAGTGTTCCGGATTTAGGGGGGTCTCCAAGGCAGGAAAAACCCGCAAAAAGCCCGCGAAAGGGGTTCAGAAATTTTAGCAGTCCTGAGATAGGGGGGTGCTTTCAAAGGGAGGGAACGAGCATATGCGTACCCTAAATAACACTGAGTGGAGGGTCCGGGGTAAAACTGCACTGTACTGTACTGTTTTTGTACATTACTCTGAACTTGTTAACTAAATTTTATCAAATAACAACCTGTTTCAAATTTTAGGCTAAAACGGGTTCTTCTGTCAAGGGGATCTAAATGGAAAACCTTAGCCTAACAGGTTCTTAATCACTAGGTTCTTATACGCGGGTTTTTACTGTATATCAACTCTAAATTTTACTCGTGTATATATTTTACATGTAGTTTTCAAGGCAAACTCTGTGTATTTAAAAAAAAAAAAAAACTACATTCAATGCACAGACTACCATAAGAGCAATGGCCGCATGAAGCATTTAGAATCATAAATCTTTTGCATTGAACAGAGAAATGGTAAATCGGTTTGAAACTCGGATAAAGTAGTAGTAATAGTATAGTAGCAGTGGCACCGGATATGCGACAAGACATCCAGTTTCGAATAATTAATGTAGGAAACAGTGTTTAATAAATATTAACTCGCATCAGATTGAAGCATCATCACATGTTGGTGCTCTTATAATATTCAGAATTGCAATCAGAGGGTCTGCTCTCATTAGAAGTCATCGTGGGTGTCTATGTGGGGCGCAAGACCGCGATCCATTAATGCCTTGTTCCGCGCTTTCTCCTTCTCCTGTTTCTGCAACTGTTCTATTCGCTGAGCCTCCAGTATCTCATCTATAGAAACCTTCTTCAGTTGTACGCTGGCTTTCATTTCAGAATCCTACAACAGAACATCAAAGACCCAAAAGCAAAGAACATCTATGCAGTACGCACATCTACGAACTGGAGGGAGGAGACATTTTTTTAATTAAAATTTCTTTTTTTTATATTAAAATTTTTTGTTGTTGTTCCCAATTACAATAAAAAGTTTTGACACGGCAGTTTAAAAACAAACGTCTATTTTTTTAGGCCTAACAGAAAATAACATCATAAAAGGATATATTAGTCTAGACGTGGGATATGTTTCGGGTATTGGGCATGAAATATATATATCAGATGACGTTATTTAAAAATTAATAGTCCCGGATCTAACATACCACTTCACCGAGCAGGACTACGTTTTCTCCTCTGACAATGAAAATACCACGTGGAATGTCTCCGTACTCATGACCAACATGAATGCGCTCAATGGTGCGATGCAGTACCAAGTTTGCTGAACAAGAACAGTTTCCTTCAGCATGGCAAGTACAACATTGTGGGGACAAAAAGCAAAAAAATTTGTATTTTAACATTTCGGGATGCAGTAAGACTCTGAATATTATTAATTGTCGCAGACACAACACTTTTACTTCTGCTTAATTAATCTATCCTAGTCTTGGTATAAATACTAGCATTGAATTACGTGTTACTCACCAAACTGATCGATGCTTCGCAGATATCCTATCAATGTTCTTCCATCCCGCAATACCACTAGAAGCTTTTCTATATAAACAACGACGATCCACAAATTATATGAATGTATTAATATGATTATGATGACTAAAAGTTAGTAGGCCTATAGCAGCAAGACTGCAGATGAATTTGTAACTCTTACTGTGATTATACTAGTTATACTACAAATATTCATATTCATATTCCATATTTATGATAATATATTTATGATAATAAATTATTATTATTATTAATTAATAATTTGTCATACTGTCTAGTGGTCAAATTATAGGCCTAATTAGTCTGTAATTTTATACCGATTCTGCTGTAACCGTGAAGTTTACTCTGTAGTCTAGACTGTAGATGTACGGTACTACTACGTAGTACATCATGCAGTCCAATTCACAGCGAGTGAGAAAAAAAACTACCTAGTTGTTCACTGGTTATACAAGACTCAAGAGCTCTATATTTGACACAGCCCACTTACGCTGAAGGGGTCGTTGTTGTATCAGGTACTACATATATGTACCCGAGGTACATATATGTATACACAAAGTATACCAGACTTGTACTACAGAAATGTACCCTAACCCTAAACATACCTCATATAACAAGTGCCGCGGAGCGACAGCGCTCATCTCACGTCTACTGCGGTGACTCTGTGGTGGAGTGGTGGGATTCTAGTAAACCCTGTTAGTCCCAAATGTGTTCACATATGCGCCGAAACAGTGGAAGGCACAGGGATGGTATCAGGAACCTTCTCAAAGGAATGTTCGCTGTGATCGTTATGAAATTTGCCACGAGATAGCTCGTAC